GAAGTCTGAGAGCTTCAATTTATGTGCTTTCTAAATATACTTACAATAAAAATGCCATTAGAAGTACGCTGTGAAGATGAATGTCAGTGAAGAACTGTGAGACCCATGGATAAGAGATGAAAAGCAACTGTAAATACCATACGCTAATTAAAATTTAATGGGACTAAAAATCTCATTGCTATCTGGGGTAGATTCATAGATGATACATGAATAGCAATATATAATTTTGAAGTTTTAAAAATAACAAATTCTAGGGAACACTTGAAAAATACATGAAACAAGATCACCTAATATTTCTCTTTGCTTTGGAAACAAAGTCTATAATTCTGGGACCTCAAAAATATTCTAGCTTGCTTAAACAAAAATAATTTGTTTTTAACTTTGAAAATGTTTAATATTTTTTTCATCGTAACAAAGAGACAGTGATGTGAACTAACAGATGTGGAAATTACACCTGTGCAGCGCCAGGTGCAGACCTCCTCTTCCATGACATTTGCACAACCCTGGGCACTGATTGCTGTTCAAATAAATTGTCATTATGATGATTTATTCTTATGGATATGCCAATTAATGTGAAAATGTGGAAAGAGCAAAAAAAATATAGGGTTCTAATTACACCTATTAAGGGCTGAAATGTTAGAAGTTCTGACATACATTACCAATTTTATTTTGTCGAAGGATGCTTCAGTTTTAGAAAGGCCTACCACTAAGTTATTTTTTAAAGCCCACATACTTCCCCCGTGTATCTGAGAAGTAGGGTTTAATCAACAAATATGTCCATGCATGTGAGTGACAGACCAAGAGAGAGAAGGAATCATGGACTACAAATAAAATGTTAATTATACCTATGCCAACAAGATCTATTCATGAGAATTACAAAAACTTTTGTGTCCAATGTAATACAGAAGAGGAGGACAACACTTCACATTTTTAGGTAAGACAGCATTAAATCTGCTCTATCTGCTGCAGCTATTTGTTAGAAACAAATCCAAATTACAGAAACAACCTTCAGAACTGGGAATGGAGATGCTGGAAGCCGGTCGAATTGGGAATGAGACATGTGTGACCTTTTGTAGATACACAGGAAAGGCCCATAGAGATCAATCAGTACAGCCCCCACCTCTCCTTTTACTTGACTCAGAGAGGAAAAGGGCCTTGGGAAGACTGCCTGTGAAGTGAAAGACCAGAGTAAGTGTCCCGACTCCAGGACTGTGCTCCTACATCGCTGCCCCACGCTGGTTGCCTGAGCTGGCAGGTAACGTGAGATGTGTCCTTCTCCTTCCCGTATCAGTAGTACCTACAGCCCAACTACCTAGTATGGGCCATGTATGTACGGTGGGGATGAAGGAAGCCAGACAGAGAAACATTTAATATTTATATTTAGGTATCATATATTTCATATATTAAATTAATATATATTTCATATATTCATTTTCTCCTTATCATGAAGTCAATTGGCTTCTGCTCCCTACCTAAGAGAGCTCGTTTGCTGAAACTCTTGATGCGTGAAACTGTTAGATATTTGATAATATTTACTGAGCACCTATTATATTATGTTCACTTTAGAGATGTCATCTAGTTAATACTGCATGGTCTGTATTTGTATTTTACACACAAACCTTAGACACATTCCCTGCCTCACCTGGTGGAAGACAGGGACTTGCAGCTCTCTCTCCAGCTGCCTGCAGAGTCCAGGCTCCTCCCTCCACCCCATACAGCCTCCCACGGCTTAAAGGGCCCGCCCAGGGGCGATTTGGAGACAGTGATACCAGAAGGAGCTGGAGTGGAATTCACTGCCATGTTACTGCTTGTGTAAGTCTTCTTCCCTAATACGATCTAAAGAATGGGGGAGACCATTACAAAAATAGGCAATTCTCAGATTAGCAATCAGGATGACCAAAATTTAAAGGAAAGTAGTAAAAAAGAAGTGTGAAGTAAAAAAAAAATGTCACCACCAAACTGATTGGTCAAAGCCAATCACCAATTTTGTAAATCTGAATGAATGGAAAATGTTCTAGTAGAAAACACACAAAACATTTTCTTAAAGCAGTTTACTTATCTTCCTTTTTTATAGGAGAAAAATTGTTTATTTTCTACTTATCTGCCATATTTCTTTTTTTATGCTGAAGCTTTCTTTACTTTTTATTACTTTATTTTTTCTTTACTTTAAAAAATTTTAAATATATAATCTTTATTATATATTTTCCCATTATCATTTAATCCCCTCATAGCCCCTCCCCCAGCAATCACCGCACTGATGGCTTAGAAATCATATCCTTCCTTAACCACTGTCTGAACACTATTTTCTAAGCATTAAAAGTATATAGTTGGAAAAAGTAAAATTGTAATGTGGAAAAGATGTTTTCTCAAGACAGTTTAAAGACATCGAGGTGCACTTTGAAAAAAATTTATGTCATTGTAAGCTGTCTTTTAGAGAAGCAAATTTGAGAGATCCAAGACATATTTCATGTGCTTTAAGTGTAGAACTATTACTCAATTTCCAACTTTGTTTTTACTCTCTAGATGACCTGCTGTTTCAGTGAAGGGGACTCATTTCTTGCACTTTATTTTTCTAAAGATGACATACCAAATATCACAAACATGAGATAATGACTAGGATTAACAGAAACTCCACACCCCAAATTTTAAGTTCCACAGACTAGAAAAAACAATTTAAAATTACATTTTGCTGATACTTTCACATAAGTGTGAAATCATTTAGCTTCCCTAGGTTTTAGAGAAAACACTTTAAAATGCCACAAAGATGTATAACAAGACATAAAACAGTGAATATTAACTATGTCCTTGAAATAGAATTTAAACTTGGTGACTAGGACAAGGACATGTCACATTCCTTTTTCTTGCTAAGGAAATTGCATATTTCCTTTGCAAAGCGAAAGAATATGCAGTCTTCATAAGCATATCTGTGACAGTTTTAAAGTTGTTTTGTGTCAGGTGAAAGGTTTCCATAAATTTTCATGATTGTCTCAAAGTTGAAAAAAGAAATAAAGAAGAAGGAAAACACTAACCTTAAGTATACGTTTTGCTTTTTACCAATGTTAGAACTAATGTTTCTGCTATATCCAGGTTTTGTCCTTTTAAAATATTATTCTGAGTTATGTAATTTTCAAATCCATCTTCAAATGAACACACATCTGAATTTTTGCTTATGTTTCTCTCCTTGATCTGCAGTGTTCTAAATGGAAAGTTAATCTTCTCTCTTTACCAGGCCATGCAAAACAAATGGATATGCCTTTTACTAAACAGAAAGCCGAGCTGTGGCGGGGGCAGGCAGTTCACCACTGCTGAGCATGCGTGTTCAGTTGGTGGACATTGAGGTACCACGAGTCCTGGTGGAGAACACTGATTTCACTTGGTAACTGAGTAATTCTGGAGGTAACTGAGTAATTCTGGAAACAGAGAGCCTCTTTTCCAAAAATTTCAAGTAATTCCCCACCCACAGCGTCCCCCCCCCCCATTCCACCCCCAACATCCGTTTCATTGTTCTCAAACCCCCCTTCCCCTAAGTCCCCCCCCCCCTGTGCCCATCTATTTCAGTGTCTTTTTTATTCTGTTTTTGTTTGTTTAATTTTAGCTTCCTCACATGACTCTTTTCAACCACAGATCAATTACATTTCCAGAATTTCACTCAAACGACATGAAGGAGAAGTTTAATAGTTACATGACTGCTTATCTGTTCACTCATTTAGTCCTCACACTGACCCTATTAAGTAGGTTTTGCTATTCTCTTTTTTTGCATATTAGGAAACTGAGGCCAGAGAATTCAAAGACTTGGCCAAAATTTACACTGTCTCTTTAGTACATTTTATTATTTTTAAATATTTTACTTGTTTCTAGAGAGAGAGGAGGGGAAGGAGAAAGAGGGAGAGAAACATCAATGTGTGGTTGCCTCTTGTGTGCCCCCTACTGGGGACCTGGCCAGCAACCCAGGCATGTGCCCTGACTGGGAATTGAACCAGCAACTCTTTGGTTTGCAGGCCCATGCTCAATCCACTGAGCCACAGCAGCCAGGGCTCTTTAGTAGATTTTAAATTGTGTTTACATATTATTAGAGAAGAAAAGATGAGTTGCAGAAGGTCATGAAGGGATTTATTGTGTCTGTAAGCGTTGAGTTCCTTACGATTTCAAAATTTAATCCAGAGTGCATCGATTTAAAATCTTCTGGGAAGACAAGCTGATACATCACAAGATTTCACAGAGCCAGTCTAAAACCTCTGAGGGAGACAGGAAAGTCCTAGCTCAGCTCCCTGGCTCTCAGCACACTGGCCCAGCCAGTGGCTTTAGTAGCTGCGGCCATGACTTCCCTGGTCTCTGTAGAGGTTCCAGATTGAAGAGCAGTCAGGACTGCTGGGAGACACAGGATGCCAGACCTGGCTGTTCAGTAAAGCTAGGTGTTTTTAAGCTAGTAAGTACATTGCAGGGATGAATGCATACTTGTACACAGGCATGTCTATGGAGAGCTGTGTGTGTGTATTTTACTTTACTCCTCCTCATTATTAACAGTACAATAAAAGTGTACGACTAGAGCTTGACAAGTCTATTTAACTGCCGATTTTGCTTACCAGTAAAAAGAGCTTGTTTCTGAATTCAGATTTCAATAGGTTTCTAGTAAGAATAATTTGTTAATGAAAAATAATACATGTTGCTTTTGTAATAACAAGAATAACTAGAGTGCATTTTATTATCATAATTTATGTTAAACATAGCATTTTCCCTCTATCACATGTAATTATGAAAAAGACACAGTTATATATTTTATATAAATTATTGAAATAAAATGAAAAATTTTCTGAGTTTCTATTTAATACATCTTTAAAAATTAACTAACTCAACCATTGTTATGATAATTTTCTTATGTTTCCAAAGTATTTATAGAGTTTTTATGAGCACAGAAACTTATTACTAATTACAGACTAGAATAATTTTGTGATTTCAGTCATCTCAAAATGGTCAAAAATACTATGGTCTATAGTACTCACCTTTTGCCCATTCATCCCTGGAATTCCATGTGCTCCAACAGAACCCTAAGGAGACACATAATTAGAATAAACTGCTATCACAATCACAAAATATTTCTATTCTAAATTTATATTGTATTAGTTATATCAGCCATAACTTTACCTTGCTAAAACATATCTGGGAGGCTATGTTTTTCAGTCCTTATCCACTGTATTCAAGTGTGTGATAATGTTTGCAGAAAATATGGAGTTAAATTTAACCATATATCTAAATATCCCTGTAACTGTAGTAAGATTTTTAAGAAAGTGACATCATATATTGAGATCTATGGCTATTACCAGGCCACATGGTTCTAAATTTGGGTGCCTTTAGGAAACAAATAGGCTTAGTTCTATCTGGAAAAAGCTTAGTAGTAGCAGCAACTTTTGAATTCCATGAGTTTAAATACCATGAAACAAAAGGTAATTAAAATAACTACCACTTGTTCCACAATTAGTCCAGTAAGTGACCCACGTTGTAAACTCAAATTTGTTGTTATCTGCGTCACTTCCCCCCAGACTTTCAGGGAGCACACATAAGCCACACTAGTATGAATATGTCTTGCAAAGTAGACTAGAGAAGACGTTACAAATGTTAAACACTGATGAGGAACAACATGTCTTCTGTACATAAAAATATAGCATGTGTGTACACGCACACTGCGGTGAGTACCAGTGGCTGGACACAAGCGGAGTGAACGGGGAATAAGTAAGCTAACTATCACCTGAGGAAAATCTCTGACAGTGAGCTGGATGTAGTGACATGAACAAATGTTTTCAAACAGTGATGTCATTTCCCTTCATACACTTACTGTGTAGGCTCTGGAGAGCCCATTTAAAAAAAATGTGCTTATTCTTTCCCTACCACTAGAAAATAGCTTTTTCTTAGTAGATATATGATACTAAATTTCTTAATAAGAGTGGAAACATTTAAAATATAGTAATTATAACCTGGGTGCCCTAAAAATAAGTCAATGAAAAATATAGTCATGGTATGCAAAACAGATTGAGATGGCAAGTTCCTTAGTGCTTCCAGGGTGAGACTGGGTGGGCCATTAAAGCTCTTTCCGAAGCCCAAGGCAGTAAGTTTATCCTGGTTGCATGCGGATCAGAGTAACTTTACAATTTCACACCACGCTTAATAGAGACATTATTGCCAAGGACAAAGTGTTCCTCCCACACACAAGCCATGTCTCAACTCACTGGCTTTTACTTGGCTTGTAGGATTACGATTCAACAGATGCCACATGCCCAATGCTTAGGGATAAAAAGTCTCCATCTTTGATGGATTCCAAAGATAAAGATAATCACTTTTCCACCTGTTGTAATACAATTGTTTTCTTTCATTTTCTGCAGGTTAAATATCTTCTTTTCCCCCTTGTGGGGTGGGGAGTAGAATGGGGAAGGGGGACTTAGTGATACTTTGTTGGCAAAGGGCCACCTACTTGCTATTGATATAGTTATTACTGCAGTATTGATGTAATTTTAGAAATTGTAGTTCCCCTCCATCAGAATATAATGGCCGATTCTGATGAGTACACATAACATATATCATAACAATCACTTTCCAGGTTACCTCAGCGAAGGAAGACACCAGTGGGCTGCTTGAATACAGTCACCAAGCAACAAGTGTGTCCTTTGTTCTGGTCAGTTCTATGGTCATGTGACAGTCAGAGGTTTGAACAATGCCATGCATGTAATTTGCAATGTTGTATGAACCTTCACATTCTAAGTTTTGTCAGATTTTATCAGTATTTGAATTAAACAATTCAATAACTTACAAGTTTGGCAGACAGCTTAAAAAAAGTCTGGTCTGGATTTACTAGATTTTCTATAATGAAATTGATTAGAAATCTGATGGCTCACATAATATGACTGTATTTTTATAAAGTGCACTGCATACACCAGACCACTTCGGCGTGGCTTACAGTAGTTAAATCCATTCACCCCTCGTGCTTTGTCATTTGGCAACAAGAGCATAATTATCGATACTTTCACAGCATGCTTTATACTCTACCTTTTGTCCCGGAGGCCCCATAGGACCCTAAAATGAAAAATCAGTTCAATTAACATAAGCATTTAAACTTAAATGACCAGTTAAAACTGTGCTATTCTATAAGGTTCTTCTTGCTGTGTTGAAATATGCTCACGTTGTACACTGAGAAAAATGAAAATTTTCCGTTGGAAGTACATAAGAGATCTTTTCTTCTCTTTTATTCTCATTTGAAGAACATTAAGCACATGCAGCAGAATTCTGATTTTTTTCCTTAAAAAGGAATCTTTGTTATCCCAGCACCTCTGTTTCTTCAAATACCTTCAAATCTATCACATCAGTCTCATTTAGAAAGCTCAAGGGGTTGCCGCCAGAAGCATTTAAACTGCAATGAGAGTCCTTTTTCCTTTTTCATTTCTTTTTTTGGCTCAATCCCTCCAACCCCTCCCCTTCCTTGGACATGGACAACAGTGTGATGATTGCTCAGAGGATGGGGGTATAAGGAGACTAACTGGTAATGGAAAAAAATACAATGAAGATTAAATAAAGAAAAAAATACAACATAATTGCCCAGTAACTGACCACATTAAATGATTTCTGCATCTTCAAAACCTCAGTAAGAAGATTTGCAAAGAAAATAATTGAACAGTATTATAAATAAACATGTTATTCTATTCTTCCTCTTATGAAATGTGGCCAGTTGACCAGCACAAACACTTGTTTACAAACTAGGGGATGGCAAAGTCCACTGTGGCCCCTAGAGAGTGTCTCACAGAAGGAACAAAATGGACTGTTGTATGGACTGTGGCACGAGGGAGGGAGGCGGGGGAGGGATGAAGGAATACAATGCTTGGGAAGATGAATGGCAATATTTACACACAAAATGGAAATGTGGCTGTTCTGAGATTTAGCGGTTTTTCAACCACAAAGTCAGGTTGGGATCCTTATTTAGAACAGTGGAAAAGAACACAAAGAGGTACAGCCATAACCTGAGCATTTGTGTGTATTTAAACATTAAAATATTCATCCTTTTTCTTCCTTTTTTTTTTCAAAAATACCTTCAGTGTTAGTATATTTTAACGAAGGTATAGATACTCTATCATGCCATACAAAAAGCTCTTTATTGTGTTACATGTAACTAATACTAGCTTATTTTCAATGCGTTACTTTTCGGTTAATCGGCGTCTTACATTCACGCCGGAGACATTAAATGAGCGGTAGAGCTGTCATTCGAGGAAGAGCTGGTCATACATCATTTTCTTTAATTAAAAGCACACAATGTTTAGGGACATTGAAAAAAATCTGTTCTCATAAATTATTTTGTAATCCTCACAGGAAGACTAACAATTTCCTCATACAACCAGTTTTAGATTATTGAACACACATGCACGACATCATCTTTATATATTTCTTTTAGATTTATTCAACCAACCATCTTCTTAATGAGCCTGTTGCCTAATGTTATCTGTGTGGTCAGACAACCTCTCCCCCATCTCACTCCTTCTATTTAAAACCCTCCCTGGTTAGATGTTACGGAGAAAGCAGAGGCTATCAGGTGTAAATTCCTCCACATCCTGTCTCTCACCAACTCAAACCCATTGGACCTGCCTGCTGGGTCGGAGGAAGACGAGCCCCTTCTCCCGTGCAGGACGAATGCATCTGTCCTTGCTGCATCCTCGCCTCTCTGCCCGTGGGGATCTGAGCAGACCAATTATCCCTGCGTCCCTATCAGAGCCCCCTGCTTTCCACTGCTTCCTTCCCCTTAGCACATAAACATGTTTGATCATTTCCTCACTGGGGTAAATTGTTCAGGAAATGAATGTTAATGCTGAGTAAAGTCAGAATCTGAAAGTTGCAGTTACAGAACTGAGAGTAAAAGAAAGATTTGGATTTTATCACTGTCTGTGATTCCATTTTCCCAAGTGTCTCCAGAGTACTTTACTTCTTAAAATGTTGATGTTAGAAAGAAAATCATATAACAAAAAGCACATTAATTCAATGTTTAGACTGAGAATGTGTATGTTCCATTCAAAAAGGTTTGTTTCCCATTATAAACCTTACTTTGTCACTTGACAAAATATTGCTCACCCAAATTGAACATTTCATTACATTGATGTATAACCCTGGAAGGGGAGTAAAATGAAGTATCATGTAAATAAGAGCAATTTTTAAATCAAATATTTTAACTCGAGACAAACATATCTGGTATTTTCTAATTTGGTCTCTGTTGCATGATCACATTAGATCAGACATTTAGAAAGATTACTCATAACTCTGAAATCCATAAAATTACATTAATTGTATATTTTAGCACAATATTTAATGAAAAGTCAAAGGATTGCCATAAAGAGAGTAAATATGTTGTTCTTCACTGTTAGGAAACTACTCTATTTTTGTTAAACTCTAAAAATGCAAGCAGTTTTTAAGTATAACATTAATTTTGAATTGTGAGTACATGTCTTGTGAATTATTCATAACTATGTTGCCAAGGATATACGCTCAGCTACCAAAAATGTGCACATTCTCTTCATCTCATTGGCAGGATAAATGGTAGCAAGCCAAGGATAGTGTCAGCCCTTCCTAAAAGGGGACTGGGTGTAAAGCAGAGTTGTATATAGGACATCTACACTAGTGAGTATAAACACAAACACACACACACGTGTGCTAGTAATTATTTTACTGATCAAGATGTTGCTTTTATGTATGTGCTCTGAGTATCCTTAGATTAACAATCCCATTATATATCTGTGATATTGTGGGCATGAAATTTTAAGCTTATAAACAAAGGCTTCACTGCTCAAAAATTGATTTTGAAGAACAGTATGTTGCTACCAGTTAATTAAGATGTCTACATTTGATTATTTTGTAGTTTCTAGTAGGAATATAAATATATAAAATAATGGGCAAATGTCATAGAACCACTCACTCACTTATCTAATCTTTCTTCCTATTTATGTGTTTATCTTGCTTCAAAAGTTTTTATGAATAATGAGTTTGAGTAAAATGTCCTAAGTTCATTATTTATTGGTCAAACTAATGCTTCTTATTTTCCCTAAAATTAAAGTCCATTTTCCTAGTGTTCTAAGATTTCTAAAATAATTACATTATTGTTATCCCCATGAGAATAAGTTTGGATCAAATATTTTTTCAAGCCAAAGAGTTAACCTTTTTAGTACACTTTTATTAATTGATGAATTGTTTCTTTCTTAGACATTTTTTTGGTGGGTACCTTTACACTTGGATATACCTTGTATCCAACTGATTAAAATGAGAGCAATCTGGCCTCTTTTAGTTTTCAAAATAATTTATTTGTATATGTCTCACTATTAAAAACTGTATAACATTCAGAATCTCAACACAGTAAGCTATATTTCTTTAACTCCAGAAGTGTTAAAATATAATCTGAACCTGAAAATATACTCATTTCAATATAGGTTCTGGGTGTTGTAAGGTGTATAAACTTTTTTTCATTTAAAAACACTGCATAATGGATATAACTTTATTCAAAAGATAAAAACAAATGAGCCACTGAAAAATTCACTTGTCTGCAGACAGACTTTTACACAAAGGTTTTCATGGTCTTTTAGAAAAGACCATGGAGAGTCCGCAGTTAAGTTAAAACTTATAAACAAGTGGTAAATTTACATAGTACCCTGGATTTTCTTTCCTGTTTACCCGTACCCCTTTAGATTCCATTTCTAAAGACTATGTAAAATATTAGGTAGAATATGGTGAGCGAGTAAGTTAAAGAAATATGTTCATCTCCATTTAGGGATTGTCTTTACCAAAAGTGTGTTACTCAGGCCTGAAGGTGATCCTTTCCTCCTTCTGCCCCAGATCGATAGTATGTCTTCAGGGGCACTGCTACGTTCTTGTTCAAACCCTCTGCTCTGTCACCCAGCTATTGTGACATCCACTCAAGGGCCACTCTGCTTTTAGTCTCCTTCAATACTCACAGCACAGTGCTGCCTGAGTGAGCTTTCTAAAAATTTAATGGGTTCATACCTTTCCTCTGCTGAAAAAAAATCCTTCAGTTTGTCTGACCATAGCTTCTGAGAAAAGTCCAATCTTTAATAATAGTTGGCAGTTCACCATAGAAGCTATGCTCTCCTATCCCTGCACCCTTGGCCACTGGTTTCTACAATGGGCTTTTCGTGCTCCTCTCTCTTCCACCCATTTAGTAGTTCAGAGCTCAGTGTCCCCACCCTTGGGGTGAAACTCCCTCCTTTTCACCTTCACAGCACCCCGTGGCAGTACTTCTTTTATAGAATTTACCAACAGTATTGCATTTGGGTGGTTACTTCTTTCTTTACTTTAAATGTCTTTTAGTATAGTAGCCAGGACATGGTAATTGCTCAGTGAATCCTTTTGAGTTCATTTATTAACTTATCCATGTAGTAGTTTTTGAATGCCCACTGAGTATCAGGCAATGTTCTAGGCACAGGGGATGGGATACAGCAGTGAACAAGCTAAACAAAGATGCATGGCCTCCTGGACCTCATGTTATAGTAAATAAAGACAATAAATGATAAACAACTAAAATACAAAGTTGTGTGGGGCAGTAAGTACTGAAGCAGTAGGAGGCTCAGAACCAAGAGATGGAGAGGTGGAAGGATTTAAGCTGGGGAGTCAGGGAAGGCCCTGGTGTTAAGGTGATGCCAGAGTGGGACACTGAAAGAGATCAGGCAGAAAGGCAGGCATACGGAAGGTGGAGAATCTCCCAGGCAAGGGAACAGCAAGAACAAAGGCCAAGAGATGGGCACCTGTTAAGTGTGTTAAGAAAAATACCAAGCAGGCCACAGGTGGAGGGAGAACATGGGGGAGGGGATAGGGAAGGGAGATCATATTTGTATGGCCTTGTAAGTGCTTGTAAGCACAATGGTGTTTCCTTTGAATGTCATAAAACTTACAAAGTGAATACATAAAGTAAATCGAGTTTTTTCTTATACCTTAGACAATAGTGTCTCAAGACATGAATGACAAGGTCTCTCACCCTTGTGTTCCCCAGAGTCATTCTAACACACTGGGCCTACCCTCATAGCCCCTAGTTC